ATTTTTGACACAAAAGACCAAAAATGACCATTAGGTAAAAAAATAATTGCTGTTTTTTTATGGTCTAGCTAGCTAAAGGTCTTATCTGTGTCGAGGTATGCACTTAGTTTGTAGCTGATCTGTCCAACCAACCAACCAACCAACCAACCAACCAACCAACCAAAGCTTAGCGTCATCATGTCAACACTGATCAAAATCAGTGCTACTGTATAAAATCAAAATCAGTGCCTTGAAAAAGTATTCACTCTCTTACAGATTTTTTGTTTATTTTCTTTTCTGTTCCATTTAAATATTTCAGCTTACCAAACTAATGTTAATCACAGACAAAGATAACCTGAAGACCCCAAATTAAACAATATTATCATCACAAAACGTATACGTTAAATGTTCTGCTGTTGCCACGGCTCGCTGCATGGACGCTGCTAAAGGCTGCGTGTGCCACAGCCAGAGAGCGAGAACAACATGGTGCTTCAGCTAGAACAGCTCCTACCTGGAGGAAGTACAGCTCATGACAGAGATCTTCACACACCCACACACCTCCATCACACCGGAAGGTAAAAGCTCCGCAATACTGGCCATCTTAGAAAATAGGTTTAAAACAACAATAAGGTCAATAAAACACTAAAACAAAAGTAAAAGCAAATGTCTCTGTAAAATGTGTTTAACAGAGAGTTTTAAAGGGGCATTTCTGATGTGCAATAGGAGATTGTTCTATAATTTTGTAGCAGTAACACTAAAAGCTCTGTCTCCTTTGAGCTTCATCTTGCTGTGCATTGTGTCTTGTATATCTTTGATGTTGTTGAAACAACTGCTTCTGATCAGTTACTTATTGAACCTTGTTTTTTCAGCCGTTGTTCAAGGCTGTGACAAAGTTGTGGTTTGAGCTCCAGGATGAGGCAGAACTGCTCCACATTCTCAGTAACATCACAGTCGGTCTCAAACCCTTCCTCGTGTCCCAGGCTAAGAGGTTTTCAAAGGCGTATCTGGACAGCCTGCTGGAGGCAACAGAAGTAAAGACCGACGCCAATAGACTGGCAGCGTCCTCAGGTATGGCAATGTGACTAATGTCAACCCTGAATGTACAAATAAAACATGCTGATCAAGTTTAGTTAAAGGCTAGAAAAGCAGACTTTATGAGTGACAGTGGATTTGAGGGTTCAGGCTTCTGCTGTTTTCTGATTCCTCCTCCAGTTGAGCAGATTGACCCGAATCTGGTAAACACACAGGCCTGGCTCCTGCCTCATGCAAATGACAGACTGAAGGAGCTGCCGCTAGAGTACAATGGTTTCTGTGGTTACATGTTCGTGAACAGAGACGGTCTGCTACTTCCAGGTAGTGCTCACCTAAAACACAAAGAAAATCACAAAAAAACAAACATATTCATCTCCTCAAAATAGAATAGGAGTTTTATTTATTTATTAAAAAATCTGGGTGCAATTCTCCAGAAAAAAAAAACCATGTCTCACTTAAAAAAACAACAATAAATAATTACCTATCCTTTGATAAAAGTCGACTTAAAACTGAACTAAAGTATAGACATAAAACTGAGCAGGTCAAATTGATCACAGCAGCGTTCAGCATGGCGATGGCTAATGGCTAAAACTGCTTCTCAATGTGCTGGACTTTATTGTTCATGTGTAGTTGAGACGTTTCATTTGGCCTCACTGAACAGGCTGCCAAACACTTTGACAAGATAAGAAGCTTGATTGTTGTATCATCAGTAAGCTGTTCCATTTATTGTTGTCAAGAGTACAAAAGCTTTTGACATGGATGTGTAAATACAAAAGCAATTCTTTGTTTTTAATCAGAAACATTTCATATCAGAAACAAACTGGAGGTATAGTTAATTTGGGGCTTAAAATAAAGTAAATATCTATTATTGCAGGAAATCCATCTATTGGAGTTCTAGAACACAAGGAGAGGTTCTATGCTTTCAGCTCCAGGGAGGCAGCTTTGGCATTTGCCTCCTCTCCAGATGACTTTGTTGCTCAGGTGGCAGAAAAATCCAAATTTTTCCCAGAACTTTTTCAGCTTCTCAGACTCCATCAGCAGCTTCCCAGTGCGCGCTCATACTCTGAGGTTGGTATCTTTACCAGGGTAATATGGCTCTTTGTTCTTTTCTGTAAATTTGAAACATTTCACCAAGAAAGAAGTTTCATTTTGAAAATGAGACTCCACAGTAAAATGTATTTCCCTTTTTGTGTAACACCAACTGTACTCTTCAGTTTCATAGTAAACATCTTGAGTGCATATGATCTGTTCCCTTGTTAGCTTTAGGAACACAGCGTTCCTGATCTCAGGTGCTGTCTCTGCTGTGGTTTTGCAGAGAGAACCAGGTCAAAGTTTATGGCCTATGCACATCAACAAGCGGGAAATTGGAATACAAACCGACACCCATCCAGTGGAAACACACATTGACAAGTCATACGAGTGGAACGAGTGGGAGCTAAGACGAAAAGCCATTAAACTGGTGAGCCAGACCCATACATGTTTAATAGTGTCCACAGGCATGAAACCAGTATACTGCATGTAGCGCAGTATACTGGATATATTTTTCAATGCATTAAGCAATATATTCCCGTGTATGAAATTTTATATCTATATTTTCCAATGCATTATAAAGTTAAGAGTTGTAGGTGTTTAAGACCAAACTGATTTCTGCTTTGTATTAATGTATCTCTAGCAGCTTGAATGTCTGCCGCTGCTGCAACACAGATTGACATTCTTTTATTTTCAGTCTAATAAACCTCTTTTGTGCTCCATAATCTAAGGCTAATATTCGGACAACAGTTACTCACTCAATGCAGACCAACCTGAGCCACATGAGACGGGACAACGTTAGCCAAACATGGCTGCCGAAGGAAGCTGTCTCCCAAACCATGAGAGAGAGCGGAAGCAATGTCCCCAACCCTCAGACATACCTGCATGGTCTGAGGGGGCAGAGAGATGCAACGGTGTTGAAAGTAGACCTCACCAGACCTGTTGAAGAAAAACCTTGATGACAAACCTTTGATGAAATTAAAGTTACTGTGAGCAAATGATTTCATCATTTCATCATCATCATCATCTATATATGTATGCTTGTGGTTTGTTTTGTGCCTGTGTCTCTTCTAACCAGTTAATGGAATTGGAACTCAGAAGTTGGACTTAAACTTTAGTGTCGTCTGACCATCTGACCATTTCCTTGTAAAGTTGTACAGAACTTATTTCCTCAGCAAATGCAATTTCACAGTTTCTAGAATTGGTATGTTAGACTGTGTGTGCCTAAGCACACAGACACAGCATCTGGAGACTTGATATAGTTCCTGCTTGTGTCTGTAATCAGCAGTCTTCCAGTCTGATGTCTGGATTTTAACCCCAGCACAGCACAGCTCAGTTCTGCAGGCTACCAGTGACATCTCACACACTGT